GGGGGGGTCACTGTGGGTTGCCTACATACAGGGGTTTTGTATCACAAAGTGCCTACCTTTCAGGCGGCTCACTAGAGACAATGAGGGCGAGGGGGGGGGGCGATCACCTATACCGCGCCTGACCGTGATAACTCACCAAGTGCGCTACGCTGTGCGCGGCGTTGCTCAGGGCGACCATGGTGGTCGCGTTCGTGAGGGTCAGGCTCACGATCCACAGGCCCGCGGGGGTGAACCCCTGCAACAGGCGGCAGACCAGTCAGGTGCTGCCTCGCGCGCGAGCTCGCGCGCTTCCCCGTAGTATTATAATAATAGGGTGAGTAGAGTAGGACTCGGACCTCGAGGCACGAAATGACGATGTGCACGAAGCAGACGAGGAGCGAGAGGACCTGGATGGCCTGCACGCAGAGCAGGGACAGCCCGCCGCGGACGCCGATGTCCTGCATGATGCCGCTCAGCGAGGACCATAGCTCGCGGTAGGTGCGCAGGCGGGCCGCGGCGTCGGGCCGCGACCAGTCGCGAGATTCCTGTTCAAACAGGAGCACGTGGTCGTCGACCCCAGGACCCCAGGACCCCAGGACCCCAGGACGCCGACGCCGAGGAGACCGCATTTACAATCACATTTTTACCGTCCTGAACGACGACACGAGGAGTTCGGCGGCGTGGCGGAGCGCGGTGAACAGCCGCATCCACAGCAGCTTGAGCGAGAAGGTGACGAGGGTGGGGTACGCGTAGAACCAGGCCTGCCTCACGGGCATCTCCGCCTCGGGGAGCAGCATCAGCGGCACCGCGACGATGGGCGGCCAGAGCAGCAGCAGCAGCACGGCCAGGCGCCAGGACAGCGCCCTGGACGCGGCCAGGCGGCCCCCGCACACCCGCTCCAGGCGCGCCTCACGTCGAAACGACATCGAAACGAATTGGTCGAATAGACGCGTGTAGGCGTTATCGTTTCTACATTACACATACTCACGCGGTGAGGTGGTCGCACCACCACCACTCACCTGCACGTGGCTCCAGCCCTCCCAGACGGGCGGCAGCCGCGCGGCGTCCCTCCACATGAGGGGCAGCGTGAAGAACATGGCGAGGTACAGCAGGAACTGGATGGCCAGCACGGTGCGCGTCACGCCCGCCCCGCGCCGCATGTAGCGCACGCGGTCCTGCAGCACGCCCACCCACTCGTAGCCCACCAGCAGCAGGCAGGCGACCTGCACGGACAGCAGCAGCGCCCTGGTCAGCACCGACCCGCGGCCTCCTGCGCGGGCAAAGGTCAAGTTGGGTATGCGACTTGACAACAAGAACAACGGAAACACAGCACTATTACCTTTAGGCCGCTTGGCGGGCCAGGCGGCGAAGAGCCGCATGACGGAGTACACGGGCTCGACGGCATCCTGGAGGCTGTTACGGGACACCACGGAAGGGGCAGGGGTGGCTTTGTTCTGAAAATACAGTATCATTTCTTACATACACATGTTGATCCGCAACCGCAGTGCCCCCCCCCCCTCCACCCCTACCATACACACACACTCCAGCGACCGGTCTTTGAGTTTCCCAAGTTTCAACGATCGCCGCGCGGTCGCGCTGCAATCGGCAAAACTGGCGCCGTTCTTGTGTGCTTTTGTTGTTGTGTACGACTGATTTCATCGGAGTAAGCTCTAGTTTCAGTTCCTTGTTCAGGCCTAACCAACAACTAGCTTCAGCAGAAAAGGTAAGCCGTCATCAATCACTTTTAAATAGCGAAATGGACCACTGATGTAGGAACTCTAGAATAAGGCAGCGAGGAACGATAACCTAACCTAAAAGAAACCCACAGAGTGAGCAATGATTTATCAGATCGAAATCAGAATGACAATTAGATATCAGAAATGTGGCCATTTCAGGATCATTTTTGATGCGAAACCCCGCAGATTTCTGATGTCGAATATCGGTCGGATATCGCACTGATCACTGGATCCTGTTAATTATTTTTAATTTTTATCATGGACGAATTGAATGACGTGATTTATAGGTTGATTTTTAATTTGAGCATATTTCATGTAGGTGGTTGGTTATGTTCATGCGCAGTGCGCACTGTCTAAAATCAGGAGGAACGCAGAAGGTAGTGTTGTTAGAAATGGGAGTTTGATTTTTTGCCCCGCCTGGCAATATCTCAGACCTTCGTCATTACCATGGCTAGGTAGGTAGCTGATATACTTACTACTCGCCGTGCAACGAGGTTAGACAGTACCCTCGACCGTACCGTATGCCCGCGCGCACGTCCGGGTAGCGTACTCGCTCGCCGTCGTTGGTTAGACAACAAACAAGATAGACACCCCCCCCCCCCCCCCCCCCCCCCCTCACCCTTGTCTGGGAGCAGCGCCAGGCCTTTGTGCCTTCTCTACCCCAGAAGCGCCAACCACATTAAATGCGCTTCAATGCACATTGAAATGTGACAATGTAGAAAAGTGACACATTGGTGACACATTAAATGCGCATTAAACGCGCAATGCGCATTAAACGCGTATTAAACGCTGTAATGCACTTTTAAAGAAAGCGTCACCAGTGTGTCACCTTTTATGTGCATTTCTATGTGCATTGAAGCCCATTTAACGCGGTTGGCCGGTTATGGCGCTACTGGGGTAGTAAGTTTTAAAATTTAATTTTATTTTACGATAGTCAAGTGACTGTATCTTTGCAGAAATGGAGAAGTTGCCTGACGACGTCGTCCTGGAGATATTGAAATATGTGGATGTGGGGGACCTCTTCGCCTGCCGCCTCGTGTGCAAGAGGCTCGAGAGGCTGTGCAGGTCTCCGTACGTGTGGAGGCACCGCTACCTCCGGGACGAGGAAGACGAAGATGGGGCGCTGTGTCCTTCACTGCGCATCGCTCCCTGCCTGAGCTCTATAGTGATTGCCACCCCGGCAGAATGTTCACTCGTGTTCTCGACCAGGTGCGCCGTGGCGAAACTGCGCGTCCATGTGCACGCGGGCGGCTCTCTGCACGCCGCCCTGGTCATCCGAAACCAGGAGGCCCTCGGTCGGTTGAAAGAACTTGACGTTTTCCTTTTCCCTGGAGCTGGGGCTGACGCCAGGGTGCTGTTTGAAACTCTGGCGGTGACGTCAGGGCTGGGGAAGGTCAGCATCTATGGACTACCGGCTTCCCTACCCTACACATCCAGCCCCCACGACAACGTCGAGTGTGTGTCGTCCCTGGGGTCGAGCCTGAGGTCGTTCAGCTGGAACGTCGCCATCGCCTCGCAGCACACCGCCCCCCACTACAACATCCTGCTGGACAGACACGCGGCCACGCTCGAAGACGTCCAGCTCACCAGCTTCTTTGGTGCGGGGTCAGTCTTCGCGTCCTCGGCGTTGACGGCGCCGCTCCTCGCCCGCATGGCCAGCCTGCGCGTCCTGGCCTGTCACCTCCTGCCCGGGCTGCCGGTCGTGGCGCAGTGCGAGTCGCTGCGGGAGGTGAAGCTGTACGTGACGCACCCACAGACGCAGCCCGACTACGACGGGGCCGCCGAGTTCCTCCGTCGCGCCGACCAGCTGAAAGCTGTCTTGCTGCTGTACCGAGGGAACTACGGTCCCGGTGACGACGGCGTCGACCTCGTCTCGGCGCTGGCGGCGTCGGGTCGGTCCCAAGTGGAGTCGCTGAGCATCGGTAACGAGTGCAGGGACGACACCTTCCCGCAGCTGCAGCCGCTGTTGGGCGCGCTGCCCTCTCTCCCCGCCCTCCGAGACCTGCTGGTGGACGTGATGCCGCAGGAGCTCCTGCAGGCCATCACGCCCGCCTTGGCGCCCGGGCTGCGCAGCCTCAAGTTGCGGGTGCATCAACGGGACAGCTTACCTTGTATCCACTCCTGGCTGCATTTGGATGCGATCAAATCTTTTCTGCTGGCGAACCCTTCTCTGGAGCTACATCTTCTCTCTAGACCAAAGTTCTGCACTATCGTCAGACCCTGTACAGTGTGCTCATTGGGTTGTCAGTACAATTTATGGAAAGACAGCGATCCTGGAGGCGATTATTGGTTGACTGTCACTTGTAAAGATTTAGATCACTAACCAAGTGTATTCGAAATGTATCAATTATCAATTATGTATATATATGTACATATAGTGGTTTGCTTGTTGGATATATTGTACGTTCTGTACTAATAAAATGTTCTTAAACTTTTAAAAAATTAACGCCGTAACTCCTACCTACCAATATTTTCCACAAATGTCATTCAAAAAAAGAATAGGTTACCAATGAGTTTGAGAAAAAAATCATGTGTTTTCAGCACTACTGTCTGCTTTTAAAGAGATAAGAAAGTGAGAGGTAGCGGGG